ATCCTGCATTTGCCACCTTGTTCCACATGCCAAGACCAAACCCCAAAGGGAAAGTTTTTATTTGTCAAACTATGTTGGCCAAGAACAGTAACAATAAAAAAAAAAAAAGTAGTTCAAAGGAGGTAAGGAAAACAACCCCCTATGACAACATAAGGTGTCAAATTGACCACAGCGCATTAAAATCTAATTTCAGTTCTGGCTCGGCACCTGTGGCTCAAGCGACTAAGGCGCCAGCCACATACACCTAAGGTGGCGGGTTTGAATCCAGCCTGGGCCCACCAAACAACAATGACGGCTGCAACCAAAAAAATAGCCGGGCATTGTGGCGGGCGCCTGTGGTCCCAGCTACTTGGGAGGCTAAGGCAGGAGACTCGCTTGAGCCCAGGAGTTGGAGGTTGCTGTGAGCTGTGGTGCCATGGCACTCTACCCAGGGGGACAGCTTGAGGCTCTGTCTCAAAAAAAAAAAATCTAATTTCAGTTCTTAGGAGGTGAAAAATGTTTAAGATCTGCATTTCATTTCCCAACCATGCATCGAAACTCACACTATCTCTAAGGTTTTAATGTTACTATTGAATTATGAAATCTAACCTCTCAACAACATTCTCATGGTTGATTTCGAAGGAAGAAAACATAAATCTTACTGATGGGGCACAAACTATGAACCCTACAGGATAAAACATGCTTATTAAAACACATACAGCTCCAGGTGGCACCTGTAGCTCTGTAGGTAGGGTGCTGACCACATACACGGAGGCTGGTGGGTTCAAATCCGGCCCAGGCCAGCTAAAAGAACAATTCACAACTACAACAACAAAAATAATAGCTGGGCGTTGTGGTGGGTGCTTGTAGTCACAGCTACTTAGGAGACTAAGGCAAGAGAATCACTGAAGCCCAAGAGTTTGAGGTTGCTGTGAGCTGTGACGCCATGGCACTCTACCCAGGGTGACAGCTTGAGATTTTATCTCAAAAAAAAAAAAACACCATACTGCTCCAACATAAAAGAAGAAAGTGATGTCTCAGTCTGACGTAATTTATATTGCTTTTCCTTTGCATAGGCCTTTTGAGAGCATTTTCTACAGTATTATACGTAGTATTTTCTAAAGGTACAAAAGTTACCTGAGTCTGTTCTTTTCAATGAGTATTAATCAAAGTTCACTCTGTTGTCCCAAGCTAGAGTGCTATGGTATCTGCTTAGTTCACAGCAACCTCAAACTCCCGCGTTCAAGGGATCCCCCTGCCTCAGCCTCCTGAATAGCTGAGACTGCAGATGTATACCACAATGCCCAGCTAATTTTTTCTGTTTCGAGTAGAAATGGGGTTCTCACTCTTGCTCAAGCTGGTCTCAAACTCCCAAACTCAAGGGATCCTCCTGCCTCAGCCTTCCAGGGTACCAGGATTCTAAGTAGGTGCAAGCCACCATGCCTAGCCCAAAGTTCCCTTTATTTTACCAAATAGAAACTATTATCCTTTCTGTCAAGAGGGTAAAGTGAAGCAGTTAACTCATTTAAACCTCAAAAAAAAAGTTTCATTTTTATAAACAAGGAAAATGAGGCAGAGAGGAGTTAAATCTGTTGCTCAGAGCCACGTCGGTAAACAGTGCGCTCAGCCACATGCTGAGGGAGGCCGCTCCGAACCCACACTCTCAGCCACCACACAGAGCAGGTGGGTGGACACGGCGTCTTCACGAATATATATGCATGACTAATGTTTCTCAGCAACCAGCAAATTACTAACATGTTCCTGTGTTGATGTTGTCTTAATTTAACTGCCTTAATTAGGGCTTTTTTCAGTACATCAAAAGGATGCCTTTAAAGTTAAAAAAAAAAAAAAAAACAGTTTTAGGGAGAAAATAACAAGTCCAGAAGATCTGGTACATTCAGTATGGGTCATTTTGATGGGTTAAAATTCCCTGTTAAACATAAAAATCCTCAGTTAGATTAATGATATTATAGGTAAATCCTGATCATAATAGGCAAAACCTACTGAATTAATGCTAGCGGTTAGCTATTACAGACTAATTCAGAGCTGTCTGGGAGTTCTAGAGTCTTTGAACCACGAAGGGTCTGTATGAATTACACCAGATGCAAATACATGGTGAAAATATTCTCAGGAGAGGCCTAACTTAGCACAACACACGGGCTAAAGAGGTTGAGAGCTTCTATCACAAAACTATGCCCAAGCAAAATGAAAGTAACACATTCAAAGAAATCTCAGTATCATTCAATTTCAAAATGGCGGGATGTATGTCGATTTCGATTTCTTTCAAAGCAGTATTCCTTATATAAATTGTACTCTATACTCAATGGTAGCCAGCAAAAAGAATGGCACGAACATTACAGTTTTAGCATTGACAGCACCTAACAAACTCGTAAAGCAGCAGCGATCCTCCTCCTCCAGCTCTCTCACCATCTGCACACAAGCATGTTGCTCTCTCTCCCATCAAAAACAAACAAACCTCTTCCTGACCTGACTTTTCAGTGATTCTTCCCCACTGCAGCAAAACTCTTCAAAACAGATTCCTGTGTTAGATGTTTCAGTTCTTCTCACCTTCCCTCTGAATCCGCCCTAGGCAGGTCTCCAGTCCTGTCTTAGTAAAGTCACCATGGACCTCCACCTCGGCAGATCAGGGGTCAGTTATCAGTCCAGGGTTGTCTGGCTCTTGTACAGTATTTGCCACAGTTGTTCCCTCCTCCTTGTTTTCTTCCTGAAACACTCTCTTTACACACATTTTTATTTGGCTGTTTTATCGAGATATAATTCATATACCATATAATTCACCCACCTAAAGTATACAAGCCAATGGTCTTCAATATATTTACAGAGTTGTTTAAAACTATCACTACAATCAATTTTAGCACACTTTCATTACCCTCTTCCCAAAAACTTACCTATTAGTAGTCACTCCCTAATTTCCCAGCCCTAGCCTAAGGCTACTTTTACAAATTTGCATATCTGGCCATTTCCTATAAATGGAACCACAGGCTACGTGGTCTTTTGAGACTAGCTTCCTTCACTTAGCCTGATGTTTCCAAGACCTAAATGAAATAAAAGTCAGTCACAAAAAGACAAACATCTATGATTCCATTCATATGAGGTTCCTAGATTCATCAATTCACACAGACAAAAGTAGAATGGTGGTTGCCGGGAGCTGGGGGGCGGGAGAGGGCAGGGGAATAGAGTTTAATGGGCATAGAGTCAGTTCTGCAAATGAAAATAGTTCCGGAAATGAATCACGGTGAAGGTCGAGGTATTTAATGACACTGAACTGTACACTTAAAATACTTAAGATGATAAAGTTTGTGTTGTGTATATTTCACCACAGTTAAAAATAATAATAAAGGCTCGGGGCCTATAGCTCAACTGGCTAAGGCACCAGCCACGTACACCTAAGGTGGCGGGTTCAAATCCCCAGCCCGGACCTGCCAAACAACAATGATGGCTGCAACCAAAAAATAGCC